ATAATATGTATAATCCATATAATTCCAATTAATAAAATATATTATATATTATTTAAAATTATATATTAATTAAACATTATAATTATATAATATAAATAAACAAATTATATTTATTAGATTAATTAAATTAATATTAATAAATTTACCTTTTGTGCATTTTTTTCATCATTAGCCATATTTGCCATATCTTTAGATTCATTAATGAATCCTAAAATTTCTTTCATATCCTTATAAGTATACCATGTTTCATACATTTTCATATCTAAGAATTATTTTTAAAAAAATATTTTTTTAAATTAATGTAAAAATTACAAAATCAATAATTAGAAAGATATAAAATTTAGAATATTCAAAAGTTCCTAAAATACCTAAAAGTTCTCGTTTCATTTCTTCCTCTTCTTCTCTTTCTTTAGATGTCAACAATTCAATTTTATCTCGCTCCATACTGTCTGACATATTTATAATTTTGTAAATTTAAATTAAAAAATTATATCAATAGAATGTTTTATATGTAATGAATAGAAATTTAATTGTAAAATAAGTATGATTTGTAATTTCGAATTTTTCTTCATTACTATTTAATTATTTTAGCCATTTATGAACAATGACGTTGAAAGTATAAAAGTTCACATTCATGTACAAATGATCTGAAATTAACTTCAAAATTATCAACATAGAATGGAAGAATCGATATCGATGATAACCAATTTCAGATTATTCAATTTTCCAAACTTATTTATACGAATAAATTTAATTCATTTGTATTTGACAATATTTATATATTTATATTATAAAATATATCTTATTAATTATCATATTTTATAAAATCAGTTAAATTTTATTATTAAATTTAATACTAAAATAATACAATCATATTTATCAAATATAATTTAATTATTATATATTATTAATAAAATATCAATAATCAATGATATAAATCTTGACAAAATCAAAATGTTCAACTAATCAAGTCAACTAATCAAGTCAACTAAACAGATTTTAAATTAAATATTTAAGAAAATTAGTAAATTACAAAATATTATTTTAAAATATGAAAGAAGTATTTTTAAAAATAAATTTTAAAAATAGAAAATATATTTTTTGTATATTAATTTATTATTATTTATTTAATTATTCAGATTTTATATTAATATATTGTTTCTGAGATAAAGATTGACAAAGATTGATAAAATGAACGATTCAATGAACAAATCGTACAGTTAAAAAAAATAATTGTAATATATTTAACTTAAATCATAATTTTGTTTATACATATAATATAATAATTATGTAATTCAAATGATAGTCATAATCATAAGAATTTATGAAATTAATTTAATTAATTTATATTATTTAAAATTTAAAATAATTTTCAAATTCTAAATTGAAAATTATTTTTTGAATGATTATTTTTTGAATTAATATTATTATAATTAAAATTCAATTTGTATATAGAATAGATTTAACATTTAATAAAATTTTTATTATGAAAATTTCAAAAATAATTTTTTTATAATTTTATAAATATTTATAAAGATAGATAAATTTAAGATAAATTTAACATTTAATGGAATTTTTATTATGAAAATTTTAAAAATAATTTTTTTCAAAAATATTTCTAAAAATATTTCTAAAGTACTTTTCAAAATAAAATTGATTTTCTCTCTTTGTATATTTTTTACGGCGCATAACTATATGATATATAAGATGTCAATTAAATATATTTTTATCATTTTTTGTTTTAAAAACTACAATGTATCTTAATTTTTAATTAAAAAATATAAATATTTCATTTTTTGTTTTCTGAGATACATAATTTATTCAAGGAAAATATGAAATTTATTTAACTGAAAATTTAAAAAAACGAATTAAAGTGACTTGTTGAATATACTGAATATATATTTATAAGCATTGCTTATAAGTATATATAAGTATATACCTTATAAGTATATACTTATAAGTATATACCTGGAAAAATATAGAATTTAGCAAGATAAATCAACCAAACACAAATCATATAATTGAATCATATATTTTCTTATTAATTGGTTAAACTCATTATATATTAATTACCGCTAATAGTATATGTTACATATTTAATAGTTTATCGTCTGCATTCTTCAGGTGCCAATTTATTAGACACGGATAATAATGCGTCAATTTTCGCAAAAAAATGAAGTTTAATATGTAATATGTAATTGTATATTTAAATATCTTCTTGTTGCGATACATTCTTGCATATTAAAAAAAAAAATGTATTTTTAGTATTGACAAATATAAATTTTACTAGCATTCAATTTTTTTCTTTATTCTATTTTTCTCTATCTTTAACGAAACCAAAACTATAGCCCATCCTAATTGCACAATTCATTTTATAATTGTTTTGATACAAGCATTGCTCGGTGATAAAAGTCATAATTTAAATTCTGTAACAATATTTGTTCTATTTTTTATTTTTTTTATATTATATTATAATTTTATATTAAAATTTAATTTCAGTTTCAATATTGTATATATTATTCAATATTATTCTGAGTCGATTCGGTAATATTGAGAATAATAATAAAATAATCTTAATATTTTTGAGACAAAAAAGTGCGTTAATGTTAGATTTATTCTATATCTTCTTTATGGTATATAAAATTATGAATGTGTGAATTAAACATATCAATACATGAATACTTTTTTTGTGTATAAATATGTAAAAATAAATATGGCTGCTTCCATTGTCAGAACATATATTCGATCTAGGTATTTTGTATTTTTTTTGATATTATGAATTATAAATAATTTGATTTTTTTATTTATGAAATTATATAATATTTAATAAATATATATTTACATATAATGTTTATTCCTATTGTATTTATTATACGCAAATCGTAAACATAACCTTTATAATCTAATATTGATCTTAAATATTTAATATTATATTTATATATATTTACATATATAAACATATATTAATAATATATTTAATATATTTAATATTATTAAATATTTAAAATTTTAATTTATATATAGAATTGTATATAGTTTTCATAAATATAATTTATTTACAGTTTATCAAAACAAGTAATAGAAATTATATGGCGAGAACAAAATATAAATTGTACTTTACAAACCATGAATGTATTACATATTCATCATCAATATTATCATGTTACATCAGTTTTTACTAAACAAAAAAAACATAAAGAAGAAATAGAACTAGTATGATTTTGATTTAAATATAATTTATAAATATATTAAAATGTACATTTATAATTAAAATTATTTTCAGGATTTGAAAACAATACTTAATGAAGACAAATTAAATAATTTTATAAATAAAGAATTTAAAAATAAATCATTACCAGTAATAGAAGTGTGGGATAAGATGACAGTTAAAGAATTAGCAGATTCTGCCAAAAGAGATATTAATGATGTTTTAGATGTTCTTTATTTTATAAATAAAAAATTTACATATAAAGAAAATAGTATTTTAACGACTATGCCTTTATTAACTAACATAGTAAAATATCTTGGTGGGAAACACAAATTCATATCAAAAAAAATTAAAGAAACTAATATAAAATATAAAGATATTACTAAACGGTAATATGAATTAATATGATTATTATATAATAGAAAATAGATATATAAATAAAAAAGCAAAAGTCAATATATACAGTTTAAAAAATTAATATTTTCAAAGTTATAATTTTTTATCTTCACTAAAAGCTTATTTACTTGAGGAGATAAATGTGCTAAATATTAAGATATCAAATATATGTAAAAGTGAAAGACAGATATGATGAAAAAATTCTAAGAAAAAACTAGGAAAAGAAGAAATGATAAAATGATTTTTATTTTGTTTTTATGCAATATATCAGTTTTCAAAATGAATAAATTATTCGCTTTAAAAAATATAAAAAATAAAAAATTTTTTTATAACTTTTTATAACTTTAAAAATATTAATTTTTTGATTCATGTTTATTAAAACTTTTTTTCTTTACTTGACTAGTTTGACTTTCTAAAATTTATGAATTTTTTTTTATTCTTTTTTATTACACAACAATTTTTAATCATTTTAATTAAATATATTATGTAATATGGTTTAATTTTATATAGGTCTCTACCAAATGAATCTCAATTAATAAAACGACATCCAATTGTAACAATAATGGGGCATGTTGATCATGGCAAAACTACTTTACTTGATGCATTACGAAATACATCAGTTGCAAAATCTGAATTTGGTGGTATTACACAATGTATTGGTGCTTTCAATGGTTGGTATTGAATTAATTATCTTTAAACATTTATTTTCAAATTTTATTATTATAGATTGCTCTCTATTTATAGTAGCAGGATGAGACTATTTATAAAAAATCAGAAATAAAAAAATCTTAGAATATCTTTAAATAAGACTTCATTTTCAAGAAAATCGATTATGAAAATTTATCAAGTACGCGTGAACTTAATATATAATAATAACTTAGGTAATGATTTAATTAATGTATATTTTTCTTTATATTTATTTTTATAATATGATGTATTTTTATAATATATTATGATTTATTACTACTATTATCTTATTTATTATTACTTGTTTATTATTGATATAAATTTTTTTATAATATTTAATAGTTATTAATATTAATTATTAATAGTTATTAATATATATTAATATTAATTATACATTATATTTATATATTATAATTAATATTAATATTATATATTATAATAATTATAGTTATTATATATTATAATATATATCATAATTTTAGTATAATAGTTCATTTAAATATTAATTTCAATTATTTCTTATATCTCTATTTATAATATTTAAATATTATCAATTTGAATCATTTTCAATATATTAATTTTAGAATTAAATGGACAAATTCTTTACATATTTTTAAAATCAAATGTTAAAAATAAATTTTATTAAAAAAAAAATGTATTTCTTATTATTTATTTTCTTTTTTTATGAAGAATCATATCCTGTTATAATTAAATTTTAATTTAATTAAGTTTTATTAAAATATTATTGAAATGTAAATAGTGATAAAATATATTAAATTATATAAAAAAAAACAGGAATGAGCATAAAAATATATTTTTATATTTTTAATAAAATTATATTTAAATTATTAATATTTGAATTTTAGTAACATTGGAATCTGGAGAACGAGTAACATTCTTAGATACACCTGGACATGCTGCTTTCATTTCTATGCGACATAGAGGCGCACATATAACAGATATTATAGTATTAGTTGTAGCAGCTGATGATGGTGTTAAAGAACAAACTTTGCAAAGTATAGAAATGGCAAAAGATGCCAAAGTTCCAATTATTGTGGCTATTAATAAAATTGATAAACCTAACATTGACATTGTAATGTTTTATGTTTTAAAGTTTTAAATATTTTAAATTAAAAATAAAAAATTGAGAAATTTAAATCTATAATTTTTTTTATTCTTTCAGATTAAAATTCAACATGAATTAGCAAAACATGGAATTGTAATTGAAGAACTTGGCGGTGAAATACAATGTGTTAAAATATCTGCTTTAAAAGGAATTAATTTACGAGAATTAACAGAAGCTATAATTGCACAAGCTGAATTAATGGATTTAAAAGCAGATCTTGAAGGTTTAGTGGAAGGTGTTAT